CAAAGTTTCTCTGCAATGAGGAGAAACGCAAGGGGGAGGCAAGGAAAGGTACAAAGGAAAGACACTTGCAAAAAAGACCGAATTTGCGCTTCTTTTCGACCGTCTTGCGAACTGCAAGTCGCGCCTGCAAGCGTGCACCTCGGGAAGGGGGGGACAGATGGAGGGAGGATGGCACGCAGCGCCTGACATCCCTTTGCGAAACTCGCAAACTCTTTCCCCCCCGCGCAAGCCAAATTTCAATGGTCGAACAAGACCCGCACAGCTCTGAACGCAAGCCTCTCCGCCTCTCTTTTTCTCTCCCCATCCGCCAAACGCCTCACCCGCTCGGCCTCTTTGCGCAAACATCGCACCGCCTCGTCGAAATCTTGCAGCGTTTGCGCGCATGAGCTCGGATGCGAAGTCGACGAAGCTGCGGCAGTAGCAGTGGCAGTAGCAGCGTCGAGCGCAGAAAAGTCGTCGTGGTCGTGGTCGTGGTCGTCGTCGTCGGGGAAGGATGGAAAAGCGCGCCACGCGTCGATGCTCGCCAAGCCCGAGCGCGCCGCCACCTCCAAAGGTCGAGGTTGCGCATCGCCGGCGCTCACAAAATCGTCGAAATCATCGTCGAATGTGGATGAGGAAGGGCGGGGTGTCGTGCGGACGTCTGCCCCAAGTGCTTCTTCATCATCATCGCCAGGCCAATCCGGATCCGTCTCTCGCAGAAACCTTTCCAACTCCTCCATGTCCAAAGATTCGCACCAATGCAATCCTTTCTCCTCCTCCTCTTTCTGCTCCTGCTCCTGTCTACCAGCCAATTGCGCTTCGCGCAGCTCCATCCGAGCCAAAAAAGCTCGAGCAAGCTGTTCATCTTTTGCCATGCAGGTCTGTGCGGACGAAGCAGCTGCTAGAGCGCCGTCGGTTCGGCGGCCGTCTTCGCTTCGGTCCGTGCGACTTGCACCCGCACCCGCACCCGCACCCGCAGCCCTCTGCTGATCCAGACGGATCATGCTCGGCCACAAATGAGCTTGCAGAGCTTCGTGTATGCGAGAAAAACTATCTTCCTCCTCCTCTTCCTCCTCCTCCTCTTCTTCATCTCGCTCTTCGGCCCAATCAACCCCAACCCCATCTGGCGCATCTCGATGCCTATCCAAACGCGGCTGCATCCCATGCTGCATCCCAGTAGCCCTGCCCATACCTCTACAAAGCTCCACCACTTCCCAACCCTCACCGATCCACAGCTCTCTTACACCTTCCCTTTGCTCTTCTTTCCGCCGCCGCTGCTGCTGTTGGCCAGCCTGTTGGAGGAATGGCGCGAAAGACTGCGCATGCGCATGCGCATGCGCATCCGTAGGCGCATCGATAAGGGGTCTGGGCAGGAGGAGCAGAATGCAGATTGCGAAATTGGACGAGTCTAGCAAACGTGTTGGTGCGTGTGCGTGTGCGTGCTCATCGATGCTGGTGTCGGTGTCGGTGTGGCTGGATGGATTGCGAAGCTGCAAAATCTCCTTGTGCGTCTCGAGAGGCTGTGTATGCGCAGGCTCGACCAGCGCTTCCTCATGATC